TGAAAAATGGCTGTTTTCATTGAAAAGTCTCCCGTTACAAGTTCAAATTGCTATAATACTATAAAAACTGCTTCAACACTAATCAAACTTGGCACAAATGTTGACTGGACCATTGCCCTTGCAACAACATGCTCAGGCTTAAATTTTCTGTTACCATGGCAACGAGGGGACATCTCAAAATTGCCAAAAATCACTATTTTGCGTTGATTTTTTTCCATCATAATTGATTTTCAAAGTGCTGCAACTTCTCAATGGATTGAGATAGAGTCAAATGCTTTTCAGCGTTGGTTACACGTTACCTTATGATCAATCTGAGGTCATTTATAGCCTCTCACAAGTCCAAAATTTTCTTGGCGATGAGGGGGACTACGCCCCCCTTCAAACCCCCCAAAAAAGAAGGGGGCACATCCCCCTTCTGGCAACCTCCTGATGTATCTTTTGGTTGGGGGCCGCGCCGAAAAAGCGGTCACTTTTTTAACAACATTTCTCAAACAAAAACAAGTGTTGGGGGCCTAAATAAGGCATTTTTTCACCATTTGAGACAACAAAAAGGGGGGGGGGGTGAAAAAGGCGTTAAAAGGCGTGTATATGAAGTAATGGGTTAAGTTCAATTTTTAAATTGAAAAAAAAAAAAAAAAAAAAACACCGAAAAGAATTGTTGTTGGGCTCTGATAATTGCGTCAATTACCGACGGTATAGAAGTTTGTCCATCGTCCATCATTAAGGAAAGTTTGCATTATTAAATTATTTCTCCTTTTCACCGTTTTTTTTTTTTAATATTCTTTTAACAATTCATCTTTCATACAAATCATAAGCATGAAAATTAAGGACGTTAATTATAACATGCAACTTTGACACTTAATTTTATTAAGATAGATTATACAACACTTACTCGTATTCATTTTTTTTGTGTGCAAAATTGTGGAGCATCTTTATTAAAGTGAATACACAAGGACAAATGAGGAGATTTGATTAAAATCGTCGTTTAAAGACACAAAATAGCATATGCATTTTCGACTTGCCAATACAGCGTGCCCAGGCTAGTCGTACGTGACTCACGTACAGCTAGAACTTTTGGCTAGCCGTACGGGCCCGTATGGCTAGCCACTTCATTTGTAATACTGTTATAATGGTGGAGTTTTCAGGTCTAGGATATCATGATATTTATGGACTAGAAACTCAAAGCCTAAAATTTTAAAGATTTTTCAATCTATAATTTTTTTTTTATATATAAATTTATAGATATTCAATGTTAAATTTGCTGTTTTTAGTTTTATGCTAAAATACGCAGCTTAAGACAAGTTGTTTTATTGATTATTTATATTTACAAAGGTAATGGGGTGAGTTTCATCTTTGTATGATGATTTTGAAATATTTGTTAAAAGTGAAAATTGAAAGTCATCAAATTGTTCTGAATCTTACCATACTGTTACATTTATTCATATAATACCTAACCTTATTCAATTTAACCTGCGGTTTTTAAAATTTAATGCAACTTCTGCTATTTTCTGCTATTTTCTTACTTCATGTCTGTAAATTTACAGATCTATAAAAAATCTGTGATATTATGGATCATCCAAAAATTTACAGACTGTCCATAAATATCATGAAATCCTAGACCTGGTTCTTTTATCTGACAATACACCCATAAACACTTTCGATATGAACTACGTAATTAACCAGGGTATATCGAGTAAAAAAATACGAGTTGTTTCCCTTGTCTTCGAGTAAAATCTAGTAAAATCGATATCTCTTATGCTAAAAACAATGCAAATTAAACCATTTTCAGGCCTTTTCCCCCCCTATCCCAGGGGTCTGTAAATGGGCCCCATTCCCCCATCCAAATTATGTTGTTTCCCAATCCCTAAAAAAATATTCCCAATCTAGAAGTTGGCAATTTGAGAGAAAAAGTACCGCATTTTCAATTTTGGTGTCGCTAAATAGCGATACGGAATATATTTATGTTTTGTGAATAAAAACAGGAATTTTAATTGATACCAGTTTTACATTTGTACACATTTTAGCCTGTCCTTGTATTTTTGATACATGTATACCTATGACAGCAGTTTTAGTAAGATTTATTTAGTTTTATTGTGTCGCCTTGAAAAGGTGACATATAGGGGTTACTTTTGTCGGCGGTGTCGTCTGTGTCGGCGTCGTTGTCGGCGTCGGCGTCCGCTAAAGCTTGTCCGGAGCATAACTCAGTCACTATAAGTCTGATTGACTTCAAACTTGGTATGCATGCTTCTTTCAATAACCCGAAGTGCAGTGCACAATGACCAGTACTCTGCAGTTCTTATTTTTTGAGTTATTGCCCTTTGTTAATTTTTATACTTTAATTTTGTCCGGGCCATTTCTCTTCAACTAAAAAAGCTATGGACTTGAAACTTCATAGGATGATAGATCTCATTAAGAAGAAATGCAGTGCACAAGAACCAGTACTCTGCACTTCCTAATTTTTGAGTTATTGCCCTTTGTTAATTTTCATACTTTATTTTTGTCCAGGCCATTTCTCTGAAAGTATAAAAGTTATGGACTTGAAACTTCATATGATGATAGATCTCATTAAAAAGAAGTGCAGTGCATAAGAACTGATACTCAGCATTTCTTATTTTTGAGTTATTGCCCTTTGTTGCTTTTTTTACTTTATTTTTGTCCTGGTCATTTTTCCTCAAGTATGAAAGCTTTGGACTTGAAACATCATAGAATGATAGATCTTATTGATAAGAAGTGCAGTGTACAGAAACTGCTGCTCTGCACTTATTATTTTTTAGTTATTGCCCTTTGTTATTTTTCATATTTCATTTTTGTCCTGGCCATTTCCCCTAAACTACATTGTTCACAAGGCGACACATCTGACTCGCGGAGTTCTAGTTTTAACAATTATAACACCTTGAATGCTAGCATATTTTCTCGAAGTGGCAAATTTCACAATAACTTTTTTTCCCAAATTGGAAAATTTAAGACACAAATTTCCCAAATTTGCCATGTGGCGTTTTCCCAAAAAAGAGGAAAAAAGGCCTGATTTTAAACTGCTAGTTTTTTTGTGATTTAATGTCCGATTTTAAAATTTATTACACCAGTACTGGATAACTTTGGATCTAAGCTTTGTCACAGTATTATACTTCAACACATCTTTTGAGACCAAAGTATTTAAATAAACTGTTACAGTGAGATACGCAACTGGTCACCTTTACTCGAAAAAACTACTGATAAGAATAGCCTGTCATCTGCTAGTTCGGAAATATTCACCTCCTGGACATTTCAGCCTTGGTCTTTTCATCTCCAAGATGTTTTGGCCTAGTATATTTGACCTATGTTGTTACAGCTTGATTGGTCAAGTGATTGGATTATCTTAAGGGCCAAGAGGAGTAAACATGGTAAATGAATCATAAAAGTAATAAACTTGCTGCAATGCAATTATGTGTTATAACTTATATATAATATTATAATACTGAACGTTTGTAACGTTTTTCATTGGATAATAGTGATGTTTATATAGTTTTATATACACAGCTGCTGTCAATTTTCATAGAAATCTCACTTTTTCCTCTAAAAAAAGGAAGTTTGCTGTATTATAAATTCGTTATAAATATTCCTGGCAAAATAATAATATTATAAATATATATTTAATAATTATAATAATTTTCAAACAGCCGTTTATATAGGGCCATATAACCTGTCAACAATCTTCATAACTTATATTATACCTCATTATTGTCTTTATTTTACATCTTTATCAAATTTACAAATTGAAGGTGCTGAAAAGACTAGAGTTTTGGGGCAGAAATGTCCAGGGTCAAAATATCCAGGAGGTGAAAAGTCCTGAAATCTTTCTTTAAAATTTTTTTATTCTTTTTTTCCAAGCAGTTTTAGTAGGAGTTTGGGGCCAAAATTCAACTAAAATAAATCTGAAATCTACTCATGATACTTTTTAATAATCAATGAAGATTGTATTGAATTGCATGTTTTCCCAGTGTCTCCACAGGTCAGATTACCAGACCAATTCCCAATTGCAAATTATTTTTTCTCATTCTGAAAAAAAGTCCTAATTGAACTGAAATTTACGATATCAAAACTGACAAATTTGCTGGAGTTCATTCCTGTATCTGGTATCAGACATGTTTCCACATACTTCATCATCAAATTTTAATGTATTTTTGATGCTTGAATGACATCATATTTGCACATGGGTTGGAATGAACAATTTTGCACAATTCAAAATATTATGTCAAAATAGCATTAAAGACGTTTCAAAAGGTACCAGATTCTTTTCCCACTTAGGCAATTTTATGACGCAAAATTTTCCAAACTGGGCAAGGTATTTTTTTTCCAAAATGGCTAGTAAATGGCCTGTGAGTTAGGAAACATCAATTACAATGAAAATTATTCATGATGTTAACAGAAAATCATGTCATACTTTATGTTAGTTTTGGTTATTTTCTGTCCAATCAGATTAATATATGCTTCAAAATCTTGAACAAATTTTCACATCATAATAAGAACGTTTTTTGCTAGACTGTGTGTTTGATAAATGTATGTCATCGATATTATAAAGTAATTAATCATCAAATGGATTGTAGAGTTAACAGGTTTACACTTGTCTATGTATTTTTTTTTGGATAAAATTGTCGAATGGAGTGTCGGCTTTAACTTGTGTAGTTTTTGGATGAGGTATGTCGTTGCATGAGTGTTTATACCAGACATTTATGTACATTGTGTAGGTCCCCAAATGATGTGAAGTCATTAATCAATGAGGATAAAGTATAATTCTGAATACAGATGGTCACTGGGACACTGTATGCAGATTTTACACAGAGCAGTCATGACACAATTGATTTAATGGATATTTTTTCCAATCAAATTTTCCAAAAAGAATTTTTTCTAAAGAAAATCCTGGGAACAGGAGAAAATTGATTTAATTGGTAAGTTTAGGTTAAGCCTAGCAGCATTTGCGCATTTTTCTGACTGATTTTGTAGTTTGTTCTTCTACTTTTCAGAGCCAGCTCGAAGGTATTATGTTTGTGGCTGTAAACAGTTGTACAGTGTTTCAAGGTAAAATTTACAATTGTTTGTCATTTATTATTCAATTTTATAATTACAAAATTTTCTAATGGATACCATTCAAATACTAAGAGTATTGTTAATGAAAAAAAAAATTTTTTTGGAAAGAAGTAAGATATATATATATATATATATATATATATATATATATATATATATATATATATATATATATATATATATATATTTAAGCAGCACGCCTCCAGATTTATCCTTATTTTCATTAAAATTTTGAAAATGTTTATAAAAGTAAAATACGGCAAAGTGAACAAACATATTAATTTACATATTGCAAACGGGACTTACAATCCACGTTAATTATAAAAAGGAGTGGAAATATGCAAAAAAATAGCCCTTAATGCGTTAGTAATGCAGTAGAAATATGGTGATAAATACAGCAAAATCAGTCATTAATCGCACATAAGATATAAATTCTAACTTGAATCTTGAATCTATTTTCTTATCTTTCAATCTTAGTGCGTTTTCCCAAAGTATGATTTTCTTTGAATATTTTGGCTCATCTGGTGGCATGCAGCTTGAAAGATTTTATAACAATCATGTTGTTTTTTAGCTCACCTGTCACTTTGTGACAGGGTCAGGTGAGCTTTTGTGGTCGCTTTTCGTCCGGCGTCCGTCCGGCGTTCGTCCAACGTCCGTAAACTTTTACTTTAAATGACATCTCCTCATAAACCACTAAGCCAATTTCATCCAAACTTCACAGGAATGTTCCTTTGGTGGTCACCTTTGAAAATTGTTCAAAGAATTTAATTCCATGCAGAACTCTGGTTGCCATGGCAATTGAAAAAAACCACTAAAAAACCACTTTAAATATCTTCTTGTAAAAAACCCTAATAGCTAGAGCTTAGATATTTGGCATGAAACATCTTCTAGTGAGTGTCTACCAAGTTTGTTCAAATAAAAGCCCTGGGGTCAAAATTGGCTCCGCCCCAGGGGGTCATTGATTTTCCCTTTATGTATATAGTAAAAACTTAAAAAATCTTCAAAGAGCTAGAGCTAAGATATTTAGCATGAAACATCTTCTAATGGGTGTCTACCAAGTTTGTTCAAAGAAAAGCCCTGGGGTCAAAATTGGCCCCGCCCCAGGGGGTCATTGATTTTTCCTATATGCATATAGTAAAAACTTAAAAATCTTCTTTTAAAGAACACAAAGAGCTAGAGCTAAGATATTTAGCTTGAAACATGTTCTAATGGATGTCTACCAAGTTTGTTCAAATAAAAGCCCTGGGGTCAAAATTGGCCCCGCCCCAGGGGGTCATTGATTTTCCCTATATTAATATAGTAAAAACTTAAAAATCTTCTTTTAAAGATAGCTAAGATATTTAGCATGAAACATGTTCTAATGGATGTCTACCAAGTTTGTTCAAATAAGAGCCCTGGGGTCAAAATTGGCCCCGTCCCGGGGGACATTGATTTTCTTTATATGTGTATAGCAAAAACTTAAAAATCTTCTTCGGAAAAACCCGAATAGCTAGAGTTTAGATATTAAGCATGAAACATCTTCTAGTAAGTGTCTACAAAGATTGTTCAAATAAAAGCCCTGGGGTCAAAACTGGCCCTGCCCTCATTGTTTTTAAATATATGTGTAAAGAAAAAACTTAAAAAATCTTCTTTTAAAAAACCCAACGAGCTAGACCTTAGATGTTTAGCATGAAACATCTTCTAATGGGTGTCTACCAAGTTTGTTCAAATAAAAGCCCTGGGGTTTAAACTGGCCCCGTTCCGGGGGACCTATATACAGGTGAGCGTTTTCAGGGCCATCATGGCCCTCTTGTTATATATTCTCAAGCATTAGAATTCCAATCATTACAACTACTTTTCTGGAATAATACATTTATTTACTATTTACAGTATAAACAATGATGATGACAATGGAAACTACACCAAATATAAATATGTGAACCGTAATACCAATAACAGAACAGTATTGTCAAGGTCACAAAATACTGGAGTAAAATGGGCAGTATCGGGTCTCCACAGCCAGTCTTTATTTTTACATTCCTCCTCATTATTTATAGACCTCAACTTATACGAAGAACATATATTTAAGCGTTTATTTCATTCATCGGCATATCTTAGCAAAGAGGATACTGTTGTCGAAAAATCACTGAAAAATTTGAAGGAGAAGGAAAAAGAAAAATCCTCAAAAGATAAAGTGAAGTTGAAAGAGCCTGTGCCAGTACCAGAGAAACAGAATATAGTTAAAGCTTTTGCTACGAAAATTTACGCAAAATGGCTAAAATTTATCAAATTTTTACGAGAGGAAGGAATAGTTGGAGTTGGAAAACACCTTTATCACGAATTTTTGTTCTATAAAGATGGAATGAAACTGTTCTGGAAAGATTTACGTATTTGTATACCATTAAGTTATAAATATTTAAAAAGTGGGAGGTCGACCCTAACCAGGAGAGAATATAGATTGGTAGGTATAATATATCTGTATAATTATTAACACATCTGTTACCGACTACAAGGTCAAATCCCCATGATTTTAACAAAGTTTGACCCTCCAGTTAAAATCCTGAGGGTCAAATCAGGCCTTTTGGAAATTTGAAGGGTACAAGAGTCATTTAAAGGGTCAAACGGACACCCTGACACTTGATAAGCTGAATCTCATTAGGGGTGTCACAGTTTGCAAAAATGGTAAACTTTTACATGGCAGCCAGGCTACCTAATGACGGTGTTAAACATTTAACAAAATTCTTAGATTCTTTGTTATATACATGATAATATATGACATTTTGTTTGTATTTTGTTGTGCTTTACAATAATTACAATAGAAGTCTGAATATAAAGTAACTACTTTCCATTAGGACAGTACTGTACATGATCAGATTTTTGAAATACAAGTAGATTGTCACATCTTGTTAGGAAAAACTAAGGTAATGTTTAGAATATATTTTGAAAAACTTGTCACTTTGTCTAATACTAACCTTGGTTTCCAGTTATTGAGTTTCCTAACTGGTTTTTAACCAAAAACCGACCATACCTGTTTAAATGGATAAAGTGACAACCCTAATTTTTTTAATGAACATGTCCAGCTGCCAATTTTTGAATTGTTCATTATCTTTTTTTAGTTCCATGTTTTTTCACTTCAAACCTACATACATGCTTTTTGTAAAAGGAGGCCGTTTCAAAAGGGCTGATAATCTTTCAAAGTTATTCACATCAAATTTGATATACATATACATGTTCACTATCAATATACTCAGCCTTACAGAAGGGCAGATAGACCTGAATCCCATTTTGCTTGATTTTTTGTGTGTGTGTCACCGCTTCTCTGTATAAGGGATCACTATACATACATTAGGATCAATTCTGCAATTTCTGTCAGCACTACAGAAAAGGAATACGGGGGCCATCTAACTATAAACAGAACAAAAGAGGACAATAGAGTTCATTCCGTTACAGTAGAATAAGTGACCTATGGCCCTCTATTAAACAAAGGAAAATAACAAAATAAATGGCAAGAATAATGGCCTTTTAATGATTTTTTTGTAAGTTTGTCTAAACTACTTTTCTTATACTACTTATGCAATTTGAATGAAACTTAATTACAGGATCAATTGATTCCTCAGGTTCTTGCACATATCTAACAGATTTTCAGGTTAAATAATTTTTGCCTGAGTTATTGCCTGTGAATGAAAATGGCATTTTGGTCTGTTTATAATTTTTGGGTTGCCTGCTTATATATAAGGATGACTTTTAAGTCGCCTGTTTTTCTGCCTGTGGCAACTACTGGTGCAGTTTCATATTAACTACATATCTACCAAGTCTAGATGTGTATATTGTCAGCATTTTCCAGTTCAGTGACTTTTGTCACAGTTTACTTTAGGCCTTTTATTTTCAAAATTTGTTCTTTCTGCTACTTTTATACATGTACTACTAATGCAATTGGTATGAAACTTTACAGGATTGGTTGATGCTACAAGTACTTGCGTATATTAAATGGGTTGTCCAGATGAATGATTTTTGGCCTTTGAATAAAGAAGGCATTTTACCTTTAAATGTAGCCATATGATATATACAGTGTTGGTATGACCTAGCAGTGCAGAATAAGATGAAATATAAATAAAGATCCTGTAAGATGATTCTAGATAAAGAAGTTTACCAATAAAACATCAGTAACATCAATTTTTCATCTCAAGCAGGAAATGTTAATATATAGTCCAATTTTGTCCGGAGCATATCTCCTACATGTATGGAGGGATTTTAATGAAACTTCATAGAAATGTTTACCACTATAAGGAGCAGTGTCGCGCACATGAACCAGGTCTCTAGGTCAAAGGTCAAGGTCACACTTAGAGCTCATTGAAAAATGCTTGTCCGGAGCAAAACTTCCACATGTATAGAGGGATTTCAATATTACTTGGCACAAATGTTCACCATTGTGAGGCGGAGTGTCGCGCGCAAGATTCAGGTCCTTGCGGCCAAGGTCAAGGTCACACATAAAGGTCAAAGTTCAGATAAAAATATGAAGATGTGTATATGGACCATTTAGTCAACATTTATTGAGGGATTGTAACACAAATAATCATTATCAAGACTATGGCTGTGATACATATAATTTAGGTCAATATATTCAAGGTCAAGGTCACTAAAGATGATGAAATATCCAGATTTTGTCCGGAGCATATCTCCTACACGCATGGAGGGATTTTAATGAAATTTCATAGAAATGTTCACCATTATGAGAAGCCATGTCACGCACATGAACTAGGTCTCCAGGTCAAAGGTCAAGGTCACACTTAGAGCTCATTGAAAAACGCTTGTCCGGAGCAAAACATCCACATGCATAGAGGGATTTCAATATAACTTGGCACAAATGTTCACCATTGTGAGGCGGAGTGTCGCGCACAAAATTCAGGTCCCTGCAGCCAAGGTCAAGGTCACACATAGAGGTCAAAGTTTAGATAAAAATATGAAGATGTGTATAGGGAAGATTTAATCATCATTTATTGAGGAATTGTAACACAAATGGTCATTATCATGACTACAGCTGTGACACATGTACTTTAGGTCAATATATGCAAGGTCAAGGTCACTAAAGATGGTGAAATATCCAGATTTTGTCTGGAGCATATCTCCTACATGTATGGAAGAATTTTTATAATACTTTATGGAAATGTTCACCACCATGATATGTATTGCTCCATGCATGATCCAGGTCTCCAGGTCAAAGGTCAAGGTCACACTTAGAGCTCATTGAAAAACGCTTGTCCGGAGCAAAACTTCTACATTCATAGGGGGATTTCAATATAACTTGGCACAAATGTTCACCATTGTGAGGCTGAGTGTCGCACGCAAAATTCAGATCCCTGCGACCAAAGTCAAGGTTACACATAGAGGTCAAAGTTCAGATAAAAATTTGAAGATGTGTATAGGGACCATTTAGTCATCATTTATTGATGGATTGTAGCACAAATGGTAACTATCATGACTACAGGTGTGACACATTTAATTTAGGTTAATATTTGCAAGGTCAAGGTCACTGGAGATGATTAAATATCCAGATGTTGTTCGGAGCATATTTTCTACATGCATGGAGGAATTTTAGGAGGTTACTTTATAGAATTGTTCACCACCATGAGACGTAGTGCCCTGCACATGAACCAAGACTCTAGGTCAAAGGTGAAGGTCACAGTTAGAGCTCATAGAAAAACGCTTGTCTTAGCAAAACTTCTACATGCATAGAGGGATTTCAATATAATTTGGCACAAATGTTCATCATTGTGAGGCTGAGTGCTGTGCATAAAATTCAGGTCCCTGCGACCAAGGTCAAGGTCACACATCATGTGTATATCTTCCCTACTGAATTGTGTTAAGGTTCATTTAACAACACAGTGCCAAGAATAAAAACTTGCTTGCTAGATAACACTTATCTATAATGCCCCCATCTCCATCTAAAGCTTTCGTAAACGGGCGTATTTTGTGACTATGGCACCCTTGTTTAAATTCTCTTTAACTTATTAAAGGGACTCCACTGAGGTTTTTTGACATGACAAGACAGGAAATATTTTTCCAAGATTGATATTCAAATTAATGTAGATCTAGACCAATAACTTATGTGCAAAAGATTTGCTCTTTCCATTTTTCCAGAATAGTGATTCTAATTGTGAAAAATGACACTAAATTGAAAAGCGATGCAACACTTTTGACTCAATTGTGCTAAGGATAACACAAAAATACAAATTTCAATTCATTTCTTCGTGTATTTCTTAATTTTCTTTTGCATATCTTTATCATTTAAATTCCTCAGATGATTCGCTATTTGACCTCAGTGGAGTCCCTTTAATCATTTTGATAAGATATTTGAAAAATAGTAAATGTTTTCATATTTTTGTTACAATTTAAACTGATGCTCATAGATTAGTTGCCTCCGTGTAGTCCCTTTAATTATTTTGACAAGATATTTACAAAAATAGTAAATGTTTTTATGTTTTTGTTACAGTTAAAACAGACCCTTGTAGATTTGTTGCTGATGTTTCCAATCCTGCCAACTCTGATTATACCATGCATGGAGGTTTTAATTCCAGTCTTTATGTATATTGGGATGATACCAAAAGTGTTCATATCAAAGGAAGCAAGGGTATGAGATGGATATTCACATTATACAGTCTTTTAAGTAGAGTCTGGTGATATTTGGATGAAATAGAGTTTTAATATTAATCTTAATTTTCTTTTGACAAAAGTGTTGAAATTAATTCTAAAGTAACTGAGATGATTTAAATTTATATTGTAACATGTATGCGCTATCAGGATATATTTAGGAAAATATATATACATGTGGGGGTTGGCTGAGCTGTTCCTAAAAAAAACCTGTGAGTGGATTTTAAGGAATGGGCCAAATTCGAAACAGACAATATAGAATTTAAAACAACGATATTTATAAGAATTAGATTCTAGGTATAAGAAACAATGTATAAATAAATTAACTCTTTAATTTTCATAACTCAATTTGAACATTAAAAGTGTTTAAAATATCGATTTTACCTTTGTTACAGTTAACAATCTCTTTGTCAAAAAATACAAGGTATGTTAACTCAATGTAAATTTATACTTCCGGGTAGCAAAACAAATGACAATGTCGGAAAGTCATTCAAAAACATAATCCCTAGACTTAACTGTTATTGTAGTAACTTATTAGCATATGCACTTACTATAAACCAACTTGTTTGTTCGCAAATCCCATATATATTCAAGTTGCAGGCTAATTCAATTTAGAAACAATGATTCGACCTGTAACGTCATGGTGTTCGTAAAATTACAGTTTTGTAAGAAACATTCAAAGTACTAAATACTGTATTGTTTGTAAAGAAAATTATACAATGACTTAAAGTACGTATAATTACACATAAGTAACTTTTCATGCCGAAATCAATTCGATATTTTAAACACTTTTAATGTTCAAATGATAAAGAAGCAGGAATTGTATATGAGTTCATATTACAATATATTTTATATTAATACAAAGAGACTGTGTAGCGATTATCAATATTTTCTTATATCAAATTTGAGCATAGCATATCTTTAATACAATGTATATGTATTGTAGGAAACCCAGATAAGTAACAAACTTCAAAGGAAAATTGAGTCTGCCAAACTGTTGGTAGAAAGTCTTCATGATATGCCGCTAAAAGCCAAAAGCAAAAAAGATGATACAGTGTCAAGTGTACAAGAATTTACAGACTTTATGAAAAAGGTATAAGTTTGATATATGGTTAGTTGTTACTATTCTTGTTTTATATTTTTCACTCTATTTTAGTATTTAGAGCTGTATGCTTCAGGGAGGGAGTCTCTTTTGCAAATGGCCTTACTCATAGTTGATTGACTTATTTGTTACATTTGTATATAGTCATAAAGTAATTGTATGTTCATCTGTCTGTACTATGTTAAGCTAAAGTCACAAGGTGGATATATCTTAAGTTCTACCTGTACTAATAACTTCATAATTGGCACACTTGCTTATCAATACAAATTGAATGATATTTTCAAGGTTATAAGTCTGTGCCATCCATTTTTATGCCACCGCAATCTGCGATGCGGTGGCATATAGCAATTCACCTGTGTGTGTTTGTGTGTGTGTGTGTGTGTGTTTGTGTTATATAGATTATATAGTGAACTTAAAAAATCTTCTTGTGAAAAACTACTAGTCCAATTTCAACCAAACTTGGCAGGATTGTTCCTTGGGTGAAGGGCTTCCAAAGTTGTTCAAAGAATTTCATTCCATGCAGAAATCTGGTTGCCATGGCAACCAAAAGGAATTATAAGAATAAATTTAAAAAATCTTCTTGTAAAGACCCAAAAGGCCTAGAGCTTAGATATTTTGCATAAGGCATTGTCTGGTAGACCTCTAACAAGATTGTTCAAATTATAGCCCTGGGGTCAAAATTGGCCCACGCCCCGGGGGTCATTGATTTTCACTATGTACATATAGTAAAAACTTTAAATACCTTCTTGTAAAAACCCAAAAGGCCTAGAGCTTAGATATTTTGCATAAGGCATCATCTGGTAGACCCTTACTAAGATTGTTCAAATTATAGCCCTTGGGTCAAAATCGGCCCGGCCCCGGGGTCATTGATTTTCGCTATGTGTACATATAGTAAAAACTTAAAACACCTTCTTGTAAAGACCCAAAAGGCCTAGAGCTTAGATATTTTGCATAAGGCATTGTCTGGTAGACCTCTACCCAGATTGTTCAAATTATAGCCCTGGGGTCACAATCGGCCCTGCCCCAGGGGTCATTGGTTTTCCTTATATGTTTATAGTAAAAACTGAAAAAAATTCTTCTAGCAATTAACAAATGCTAGAGGTTAGATATTTTGCATGAAACATTGTGTAGTGAACCTCTAGCAAGATTGTTCAAATTATAGCCCTGGGGTCAAAATTGCCCCAGCCCTGGGGGTCATTGATTTCAATATATACATATAGTAAAAAATAAAAAAATCTTATTGTCTGAAGGTACAAGGCTTAGAGCTTTAATATTTGTTAAATAATATCATCTAAAGGTACTCTACCAAAGTTGTTCAAATTTTGCGTCTTGTGTCAAAATTAGCCCCGCCCCAGGGAGCCATAGGTTTATCTTATATGTATATAGTTAAAACTTAAAAAATCATCTTCCCTAAATTTACAAAGGATAGAGTTAAGATATTTTGCATGAAACAATGTGTAGTGAACCTCTAGCAAGATTTTTCAAATTATAGCCCTGGGGTCAAAATTGGTTCCGCCCCAGGGGTCATTGATTTTCATTATGTACATATAGTGAAAAAAAAAGTATATTTTTGTCTGAAGGTTCAAGGCATAGAGCTTTGATGTTTGATATATAATATCATCTATAGGTCTTCTACCAAAGTTGTTCAAATGTCAAAAATTGGCCCTGCCCGGGGGGCAGTGATTCTCATTATGTACACGTATTAAAAACAGAAAATAAAATAAATGTTTTCTGAATGGGAGAAAGCTATAGCTTAGATATTTGACTTGAAATGTTGTTTGATGGACCTGTATCAAGATTGTTATTAAACCCTTGGGTCAAAATTATGCCTTGTCCAAGAAGACAGTGACCTACTTTCTTGTCCTTTGATGTACAGCAATGACATTTTGACCATGTGCACAGTTTTAGTTGTAAAATTGAACTTTGACCTAGATTTTGATGATGTGACCTACTTTCTTGTCCTTTGATGTACAGCTATGAAATTTGAACCATGCGGTGGCATAGCATTTTTCTCAAATGCAATCTTGTTTCCAGTTATTTTCCTTTTTATCACTTGACTATACCAGTCCTATCCCTCAGTGGTATGGCATTGCGGCAAGTTGGATATAGCTTAAGTTTCTCCCAGCATCTTTATTTCTATTTAATGATACTTCCATATTTGTAAGGCAGACACCTTTAATGGTCCTTTCACTTTGGGTTTTAAGACGATTGGTTTCAAACCAAAGGTTTTGCATTTATACTCGTACATACATGTATTTTGATTAACTTTTATTGGTGTGTTGTATCTTAGATCAGCCGACGTTCCATAAACTATCTGGATATGGAACGGTGGTGGTTCTACTCTGGTGCCCATTTGTGCTCAAATTAAAACACAGAAGTTTACTTTATGACTTCCTCCACTATTAAAGCTGGAAAGTCGCCATAAGAGCTAAACTGTGTTGGTGGACATAACAATCCCCACCCCCGGCCACCCCCACCCCCCCCCCCCCCCCCCAAAAAAAAAAAAAAAAGGAAAGAAAAAAAGTTACAGAAAGGGGTTTCAAGCATGATCATTTAAAATTGCAAGAACTTTTTTCACATAACATTTAAGGACATACATTGTAGTTTCCTTTAAATGTCATTGTTTGAAATTTTGTTTTTAACAATTTCAGGTGAAAAGTAGTGAAGTGATACCTCCAATATCAGAGATATTAAAGTTTTCCCGGTTGTTTGAGAACACTTTAACCCTGGATGATCTCAGTATAAAACAGTTACAGGGTCTGTGTAAACTACTAGGTATCGGGTTCCTGAGTGATATACCCAATGCTAGAGTACTCCGATTCCAGATTGAAACGAGAATGAGAGAACTTACAGTGGATGATAAGGTACAACATTTGACTCACAGAAATTTTTATGTCATGTTTCATTCGAGATAAAAGATATTTTTATATTACTTTGTATGTTTATGGAAACATACACACTTAATTTATAACACATAGTATGAAATATTTGATTGCCTGTGTAAAAGAAAGAATCTATTATTATTATAATAATTTATTATTATTATTATTATTACTATTATTATGCCCCCATTTCGAAGAAAAGGGGGTATATTGCTTTGCACTTGTCGGTCCGTTGGTCCGTCGGTCCGTAGACCAAATGGTTTCCGAGTGATAACTAAAGAACCCTTAGGCCTAGGAACTTCAAACTTGGTATGGTTATTTGTCATGACCAGTAGATGACCCCTATTGATTTTGGGGTCAATGGGTCAAAGGTCAAGGTCACATTGACCTTGTAAGCAAAAACGGTTTCCGATCAATAACTAAAGAAACTTAAGGCCTAGGAACTTCAAACTTGGTATGGTGATTGGTCATAAACAGTAGATGACCCCTATTGATTTTGGGGTCAAGGGGTCAAAGGTCAAGGTCACATTGACCTTGTAAAACAAAAACTGTTTCTGATCAATAACTAAAGAACCTTAAGGCCTAGGAACTTCAAACTTGGTATGGTGATTTGTCATGATCAGTAGATGATCCCTATTGATTTTGGGGTCAGGGGTCAAAGGTCAAGGTCACATTGACCTTGTAAGCAAAAACGTGTTCCCATCAATAACTAAAGAACTTTAAGGCCTAGGAACTTCAAACTTGGTATGGTGATTGGTCATGATCAGTAGATGACCCCTATTGATTTTGGGGTCAAGGGGTCAAAAGTCAAGGTCACATTGACCTTGTAAAAACAAAAAACGGTTTCCGATCAATAACTAAAGAACCTTAAGGCCTATGAACTTCAAACTTGGTATGGTTGATTGGTGATGGGTTCATGATCAGTAGATGACCCCTATTGATTTTGGGGTCAAGGGTCAAAGGTCAAGGTCATATTGACCTTGTAAGCAATTAACGGTTTCCGATCAATAACCTAAAACTTTAAGGCCTAGGAACTTCAAACTTGGTATGGTGATTGGTCATGATCAGTAGATGACCCTATTGATTTTAGGGTCAAGGGTCAAAGGTCAAGGTCACATTGACCTCTTGGGTAAAAACGGTTTCTGATCAATAACAAAAAGAACCCTTAGGCCTAGGAACTTCAAACTTGGTATGGTGATTGGTCATGACCAGCAGATGACCCCTATTGATTTTGGGGTTTAAGGGATCAAAGGTCAAGGTCACATTGACTTTGTAGGTAAAAACGGTTTCCGATCAATAACGAAAGAACCCTTAGGCCTAAGGACTTCAAACTTAATATGGTGATTGGTCATGATCAGTAGATGACCCCTATTGAATTTGGGGTCAAGGGGTCAAAGGTCAAGGTCACATTGACCTCTTAGGTAAAAACGGTTTTCCGATCAATAACTTAAGAACCTTAAGGGCCTAGGAACTTCAAACTTAGTATGGTGATTGGTCATGACCAGTAGATGACCCCTATTGATATTGGGGTTAAGGGGTCAAAGGGCAAGGTCACATTGACCTTGTAGGTAAAAATGCTTTCAAATCAATAACTTAAGAAACCTTTTGGCCTAGGAACTTCAAACATGGTATGGTGATTGGTCATGACCAGCAGATGACCTATTGATTTTGGGGTCAAGGGCTCAAAGGTCAAGGTCACATTGAGGTTGTATGTTAAAACAGATTCCGATCAATTAACTAAAAACGCTTAGGCCTAGGAACTTCAAACTTTTGTAATGATGATTGGTCGTGACCAGCAGATGACCCCTATTGAGTTTTGGGTCAAGGGGTCAAAGGTTAAGGTCATGACCAGTAGATACTTGATAACCCTTATTAATTGTTTGATCACTGGGTCAGAAGTCATGCATAATAACCTTATCACATGACTAATTGGCTGCTGATAGGGGGCATACATGTTTTACAAACATATCTTGTTATTATTATTATTGTTGGACATCTATGTGTAGAGATTGTATTCAGTATTATGTACTTGGGGCAAAACTAATAGGGCTAGATTGTGTTACTGTAGCTATTTTTTGGATTTCTTAAAGGCACATTATGCCTCAGAAACGAATACATATTTACTTCTATAGAAAAGGCAAATATGAATTTTATAACATTAAAATAATGGTTTAGAGCTTTTGAGATGCTCGTTACCTGAAGAAAGTGAAGGTAAATGCAAATTTTATAAAGCATAAAAGTAGCAAAATGTAATCAAAGTAGTATTTTAACTTTCATACAAAATAAGAAATCACTATAAGCCCAATTCCCAATCCAAAATAGACTATTTTTATCCCAATTTCAAAAAAAAGAAAGGAAAAAAAAAACTAACTATCCCAGGAGCAGCTCAAAAATAGAATTGTTTTAAGGCAAATTTTCAACTTTTTAGCTCACCTGAGCTTGCTCAGGGTGAGCTTTTAGGATCGATGAATGTCCGTCGTCCGTCGTCCGTCCGGCCGTCCACAATTGCTTGTGAACACTCTAGCGGTCGCATTTTTTGCCTCAATCATCATCAAACTTGGTCAGGATGCTTATCTAGTTGAAAGCTCGGATGAGTTCGAACATGGGTCATCTCAGATGAAAAAACTAGGTCACAAGAGCTAAAAATAGAAAAAACCTTGTGAACACTCTAGAGGTCACATTTTTGACCCAATCATCATCAAACTTGGTCAGGATGTTTGTCTAGGTGATAGCTCGGATGAGTTCGAACATGGTCATCTCGGATGAAAAAGTAGGTCACAGGAGCTATAAATAGAAAAACCTTGTGAACACTCTAGTGGTCACATTTTTGAACCAATCATCATCAAACTTGGTCAGAATGCTTGTCTAGTCAATTGCTGCTTGGATGAGTTCGAACATGGGTCATCTCTGATGAAAAACTAGGTCACAGGAGCTAAAAATAGAAAAACCTTGTGACCACTCTAGTGGTCACATTTTTGACCCAATCATCATCAAACTTTGTCAGGATGCTTGTTTAGATAATAGCTCGGATGAGTTCGAATATGGGTCATCTCGGATGAAAAACTAGGTCACCGGAGCTATAAATAGAAAAACCTTGTTAACACTCTAGCGGTCACATTTTTGCATCAATCATCATCAAACTTGGTCAGGATGCTTATCTAGTTGATAGCTTGGATGAGTTCGAACATGGGTCATCTCGGATGAAAAAGTAGCCGTCACCGGAGCTAAAAATAGAAAAACCTTGTTAACACTTTAGCGGTCACATTTTTTTGCAATTCAATCATCATCAAACTTGATCAAGATGCTTGTCTAGGTAATAACTCCGATGAGTTCGAACATGGGTCATCTCGGATGAAAAACTAGGTCACAGGAGCTAAAATATAGAAAAAAACTTGTTAACACTCTAGTGGTCACAATTTTGACTCAATTGTCATCAAAACTTGGTCAGGAAACTTGTCTAGGTCATTGCTGGGAATAAATCGAACATGGGACATCTCGGATGAAAAACTAGGTCACAGGAGCTAAAAATAGAAAAATCTTGTTAACACTCTAGTGGCTACTGTTGTGATCCAAATATTCTGTTAATTGGTCTGAAAGTTTGTTTTGATGATTTCTAAGTCAAGATCGAACATGGGTCATCTTGGATGAAAAACTAGGTCACACCGCCCAAATATGGAAAAACCTTGTTAACATTCTAGTGGTCACATTTTTGACTCCATTATCATCAAACTTGGTCAGAATGCTTGTCTAGGTAATTGCTTGGATGAGTTCGAAATCGCATGTGAAACTAGGTCACCGGAGCTAAAAATAGAAAAATCTTGTTAACACTCTAGTTGCTACTGTTTTGATCCAAGTATCCTGGAAATTGGTCTGAAAGTTTGTTTTGATGATTTCTAGGTCAAGTTTGAATATGTGTCACCTGGGTAAAAAACTAGGTCGCACTGCTCAAATATGGATAATCCTTGTTAACACTGTAGTGGTCACATTTTTGACTCACCTGTCATGAGACTTGGTCAGAATGCTTGTCTAGGTAATTGTTTGGATGAGTTTGATAATTCAGGTGAGCGATCTAGGGCCATCATGGCCCTCTTGTTAAAATTTCTCAAATTTCCCAAAATGCCAAGTAATTTTTTCCCAATTAATGCTAGGGCCCTTTTCCCAAAATTGCTGGATAAAGCCATGGTTACAGATAATTTTGTTGTTTGTTACAGTTTATTTTGCGTGATGGTATAGACTCTCTAACTACTGAAGAATTACAGGCAGCTAACAGGGCGCGAGGTATGCGAGCACTCGGTGTATCAGAGGAGCGTCTTAAAATACAGCTTGAACATTGGTTGGAACTTCATCTCAAAGTATTTGTCTTATTTTTTGCCTATTTACAAAAAGGAACATTAAAGTGTTTTCATCTTTAATCAGAACAAGTCAAAGTTTTGTTGATTCCCGGCTTATATCAAATTAAAAAATTTGACACATTCTAGTCAAATATGTATACCAACCTAGAACCAGTCTGATTTAATGTTATTGATAGATAGCCTAAAACAAGTTGAAAATTCATTAACATGTATTCTATTATAGAAGTATCTTAATCTGAAACTTATATTTGGCTGAAAGTAATTTTGCTAGGCTACGGTCACTGGAGGAGAAAATCTCTAGGTGTGATGTGGCTTTGAAAATAATACCAAGATACTCTTTCATTGACCTTGATTTAACAATACCGTTTATTATTAATAAGGTTTTCAAGTTTGAAAATGTTTATTAGAAAATTTCGGGTATTTAGAATGTGGTCGGTGGTGTAACAGGTGGTTTCTGGTTGATTACTAGAGTTAGGACTGAGATATTGTCATCAAACTTGGTATATAATAATATATAGCAAGTTCATGCAGAAATCTCTCTTGGGATTGTTTTAAGATTTTCTAGGGTCAAAGTCAAAGTCACTGTTACTAAAAATAGAAAACCTGGTGTCATGGCACTGCCATGTTTCTTGTACTTTTACTTGTACTTTTACACTAATACACTGTTAGTTAATAATGTTGAACGTCATTATTCTTCATTTTCTTGTCATCTTTTTGTTCTTTGTCCATGTAAGCAGTATATGCAACAGGAAAAAGTCAATAATTAGATTTTTTTCTATTTTTGTGCATTTCTTTAATGTCAAGTTTTGTTATGGTTGATGTTCATTTTCAGGAAAGAGTTCCAACTAGTTTGTTATTGTTATCAAGAGTCATGTACCTTGATGAAAACTTGTCACCTGCAGAACAACTGCGACAGACTATCTCATCTCTCCCAGACACAACTGTAAGTATATAGTTGTAGAGTGTTGACTTAACCTGCTGGAACTGAAAATGTTTAGCCCCTTTACCACCAGTATAGAGCAAGGCCGGTCTGAATATCCTCGCAGTCTGACCAGGCTTTATACTGTTGGAGGCTAAGTTTTTATATTTTACATTGGTATCCATTAGATTTTGAATGGACTGCTCTATTTTCCTGCTTGCACAAATGGACTGTTCCAGAATCAAAATTGATCAAGTCCATTGTAAAATTTCAGCAGGTTGAAGCATCTTTAATACTGTATCATCTGATTTCATAGGAATAAATAGTTTAATTCCAGTCAGTATCGTGAAATGCTATGGCAAGATGATGTTTAGAGATAATTTAATACCTATTAGCTATCTTAAAACAGACTCAATCAAAGCAAGTCATCAATGTCCAGCTATATAACTTTATTTTTCATTCCTTTCGAAGAAGTTTCCATTTACCTGAAGTATTGTAATGTGTCCATATTGTGACTGTACTTTTTTTTACTATTTTTTACATTGTAAAGTTTGATAATATATATTTGATAACTCAGTTTTATAAGGGATAAATGGTTTGATGTTGGTAGCTTTTATGTACCATCCAAATAGCCAAATAGTGTTTTTAGTATGCAAGGTTTATGAGACATGCTCTTTGATAATTTTCAGGTGGACAAAGCTAAAGTCACATCTGCAGAATCAAGCGGTGAATCAGTTGACAAGGCAACCAAGATTAAAGTTCTGGAAGAAGAGAGCAAGGCCATCAAATTGGAGAAGGAAGCTGCTGTATGTATTACATGTTATTAACTCCCTTTTAATTATCAATTATCTCCCTTGAAACATATTGATGAATTAAGGGTTTTGGTTCAGAATTCTGGATGTATAGTTAAAAATGTGACATATCAGTATATTGTACTCACTTAGGCATCAACATTGGCGTTGCCATCACAGATAACTTAAGTTTTTTGAGCAAGTTGGTATCTCCAAAAGTACCTAAGGAAATGGGTTGAAACTTTGTACATAAATTTTGTTCTATGTGATTATCTGACATGATTGGCACGCGTCCCATAACTTTCATCTACCTTTTTCAGGGTGATACCCCTTTTCTTACTGTCAAGGGTAGAGTATGCTGTCTTACAGACAGCTCTTGTTGAATATTAGTAATTACTTCCCTTTTAATTTGTGTTAAACAGTCTCCCTTAAAACAGTAATGGTTATTTTTCAAAATTTGAGCTAGTTAAAATTAAAGTTTTAACAGTTACCAAACACTGAACATTTTATCATATTTACAATTGAAAGATAGACAAGTTCAGTCAAAGCTTGATTAAAAGTTATTTGCCTCATGTTGTTATTAATACTTTGATTTGAGTGAAATTAGGATATTTGCCTTTGTAATTTCAAAGTGCAATACTTGAGTATTGTGAGGGTTTAATGTCTAAAATTTTATAAATACAGGCTGAAGAAGAGAGATTGGCTAAAGAGAAAGAAAAAATGGAGAAGCAACAGGAAGAGGAACGTAAAGCCGAAGAAGAGAAACGTAAACTCGCAGAACTTACCTTACAGAAAATGGACAACCAGAATATTATTGATGAACTTGCATTCAAGTTTGAGGTATATTGTTATGTTTAATGAAGGCTTAACTATTAAGACTTAACTAACTTCTGCAAAAATAAAATTCCTTTGCCAAGTATGTAATAATTTTGCAAGTGTAAATACTTAATGCCAAACTATTGACAAAAGTTTGCAAAAAAAAAATTATTTAGTTCAAAATATTGTAAATGTTACAAAAATGATTACTAAGGGTCAAACTTTAGAAAATTTCTCCATTGACCATTATTACAGAAGGAAAGAGAAAAACGTATTGATACCCCAATAGAAGCAGAACCAGTTCCTGAAACAGTGAAGGAACCAGTAGACTCTGCACAAGATATCACCGAAGATGTTAAACCTGTTGTTGACACTGCAGAACCTATTGTTGAACAACCTTCTGAAGGTGAGGCTATCTTTTAACACTCTACATTCCTTACTTCTCTTGGTTTGAATTTTACTTCTTTATGGTACTTGCAAAATTATGTGAGCAGGATTCTAAGCCCACAAAATTAAAAAAAAATAGCAAAGCTTGCAATTAGTATTCTTTACATGTGTGTGTAAAAGCCTTTATAATTGTTTATAGCTGTAATAAATGTATTTTGTACATAAATGTTAAACCAAAAGAAAACCATGAATAACCTCATGGCACTTGTAACAATTTCCTAGTTTGCTAGTTTTCTTTTTCAATCTCCATTGACATTTTAAGGGTTGATAGGTGCATATTTAAATTAAAGCAGCCTTCAGTTTTTATTTTCTGTTGGAAAAACAATTCTGTGTTGTTTCAAACTAAGTATTTCAGTAATTTTATCTTCAAAAAGTACATCATATCACTGTTAAGCCTTCTTCAAAACAGCATCCCAAGAGCTATTTATAACACATCAATGACATTCATTTCTAAAAATAGAAGATTGGTAAAAGAATCTTCCGCTTTACTTATTTCAATATAGAGACCTGACCAGCAGATTACAGGTATCAAGAAGTTTTCTTATTGTATAAGTATTTTTTCATCAGCAAATTTTATTTTCCACCTTAATTCTTTTGATTTGACATTTATATGAAAGGATTTATCTGAAAATAACATATTTTACCTTTTGAAAAGCTGACGGCTGCTTTAACTTAACTGTAAACATTGTATCACTAAAACTTGAAAGCCAACATATGGTCGAATAATGTTGATTGTGAGACTGAAAACTAAATGAAAGAAATCATGATTGTTCTTTGTAATAACTACAGAGAAGGTAGATAAGGCCGAGAAAATTGAAGATGAGGACAATATAACAGCAAAGGACCTTGGAGATATAGAGAAAGCTATTGAAGATCAGGCTAAACATTACAAGGATGAACTTGCAGAGGTTGCTGAGGATCTGGATGAATATAAAGAGGTAAGCAATTTAGAGATGTCATTGATTCATAGCAAAGCATATTGACGATACATCGATATATTGGATAACAAATATCGGCGATATATCTATATATACTCCTATTCTGTTCAATATGTTACAACAGCTAAGTGTTAGACATGGCCAACAGCTTTTTTATATGTTTTTTGTGAATTTGATAATTCGTAGACATTAAAATAATCAAAATTTTTGATTTTTATTTGTTTGGGTCGTCAGACCAAACAAATAATGGTAGCGAAATTTCAGAGTCTAATGATGTTAATTGCAAATGCCGAAAGTAGTCCACTTTTTTGAAGCGGCTACTTCCCTTTATATGTACACTAACGCCGAAAAATTCAGGGGAGATCACTGCCTAAAGATGGTCAAAGACAGGCACATTAATTTTCAAGCAAAATAATTCCCGAATGGTCGAAGATTTCTAATATTGTTTTATTGTATTTTCTGATGGAAAATAAGTAAATACAAAGCGGACATTCAATCTCTGACACAGAAGTTTACGACAAACCTAACAACAAGTAGTTCTCAAAACAGCTTAAAACTAGCGATTTAAAAGAAAGAAATATTTTTATTTTGTTACAAGTATCCAACAAATTACAACGCATTCAAAGTTTAAAAATAGCTTTGGCTTATAGAATTGTCAATGAATGGACAATCACAAATTACGCGGATGAATATGATTTTATCAATGAAAATACTATTTTTAGCGATGCCGATTACCGAATACTACACAAACCGAGTAGTGGAATATATATAGATTCTACATGTCGGACTGTTTGGGGGAGAAGATTTTCGCTAAATTATTTACTTCAATTTATAAACAACAGGTTAATCCTGAACAAAATACCTCGAAATTATAGGGGTTACAAACCCGAAATGCAATGGAAGTTCTAAATTTAGAATGACTTGATGTTATTCAGACATTGTTTGTATAACTTCTCCGTGGTGCAGGGGTAACGCGCTCGCTTAGTGAGTGAGAGGTCTGGAGTTCAAATCCCAGTCGAGGAAACATTTTTTTTTTTAAATTCTTTTTTAAGTGTCTTTGTTAAGGAAGTAGCCATGATATGCAAGGATAAAGTGTAGCTGTCGTAAAAAATGAACATAAATGATATTTTGATGCAACTCTAGTTATGCAGAATTCCGTATGTATCAAACTCTGGTGCCTTGCAAAATGAATTATAATACATAAAAAAACTTAATTATACAGGAAAATACATACAGATATACAGTACGATTTAGATTGCAAAGATCAGAAAATACCACAGAACTTGCAGCCCTTTGATTCTTTATAAATATACATGCTTATAGTAAGCTCCAGGATTATTTACATCTGTGTTAAACAACAGTTAAAGTCGTTACAAGCCCTAATTTAGAATAATATGGTTTTCTTCAGGCCGTTCACATATAAATTCACCGTGGCTGAAGGGTTTTCGCGCTCGCTTAGGAAGCGAGAGGTCTGGAGTTCAAATCCCAGTAAAGGCAACTCATTTTTTTTCAAATTGTTTAAGTCAAATAAACATTGGATTGAATATCAGTGTTGCAATTAGTCTTATAGCCAATTTACTACAATTAAAACGCTGGAAAGCATTGGTGGCACTATACATATAATCTCACAACCTGTACCTTTCTTACATTCTGAGACCCAAACAAATTCAGCGCCTTCTGTGCTTTGATTTCAAATAAGTATTGATTATTGATAGACAGAAAAATATTAACAATACATCAATATCGTCTCTATTGATGATAGCTCTATAAAGCAATTAGTGTTTGTTGTTGGCAAACTGGGAAAGTTTCCTATAACTTGTTTTTGATATTCATGAAGCAAACATTGCAGGAGATAATTGAAGATCTTTTGGCAAAAAAGTAAAGTTTGATATTAATATGCTGAGGAAATACACAAGCATTGAAAGTTGTACCATAGAGTTTTATTTAGAAAAATGATGTACATGTATTATATTGTTATTTTTAGCTTGACTATTCGTTAAGAATAAGTAGAGCTATCCTAGTCACCAGAGCATCGGCGTCAGCATAACCACTTATGTTAAGGTCTCCTCAGGCAGCTCTTGTTTATTTTTTAAAAAAACAAAAAAACAAATTTTTTGTTTGTTTCATATATATATACATAATTTAATGTTTTCTCACAGGATGTAGAAGACATCAAGGCATTGTGTTTGAAATCAGACCTTGAGAAAGATATAGAAGAGACGTGGAACGCCAAACTTTTACTGAAACGTATGGACAAGGTGCTTAAGCAGTTTGATACGAAGATATCAAAACTACAAGATGAGAAGATTAAGATACAGGAAAATATTGATAAACAAGAGGTGTCACTGAAGTATGATTTAGACGGTAAAAGTGCAGAGATAATGGAGGATATTTCAGCTAAAAAGTAAGTATGGATTGATAGTTTAAGAGACTTTTTGCTCATATTTTTCACTGTATGATTGAACTTCATTAGCTACAAATTTCAAAAGGTTGACTAATGACTATTATGATGGTGATTAAGCTGTTGTTGATAATAACAAATGTTTAGGATAAAATAAAGAATGGCCTAAAATATAAAAAAACAGCCCCACCTTTTTACATTATTGAGGATATATATAAATTTCCTTGAGACATGTTAGTTATTGATACTCATGCAAAGTAATTGAAAAATTGAAGGCAGTTATGGCAAAATGTTATTTTGACTTACCTGTGCACTCACCATTTACACATGGACAGGCATAACGTCACTCAAATTGTAGTTGCAAACATACTTTTTTCTGATGGCATTGTGTTTTGATTAAAGAAAGCAGAGAATTAAGAATATTTTTATTTTCTTAGGCAAATATGGCTAAAAGGCTTAGATTACTGACTGAATCATTCGCCCATCACATCTGTATGTTCAATGCCCACAGGGACTTATGATTCTTACATTTGAGGAAGCTATCGAGCTTGCTGTTATAAGATGTCACTATCATTTGTTTCTGTCTGTGATATTCCATTTATTGATATCACTGTCATTTGTTTCAACATTACAGGAAGAACTTGGTCAGTATCAATGATGTACTGTTATCATTGAAGAGATTTCAGAAGGTACCTGATGATGTCAAGATGCAGAAAGTGCTTGAGGTTCTCGACACAGATAAAGACGGTCTTATTGATATCAACCATGTACTCAAGGTATGATAGACTGTCACTCAATGGGAGAAAGAGAGTTTAATTTTAAGTAAATGAGTAGTAAAATAGATGTTATCCGGGATTCGCCAAATATTGTTTTTTTTTAAGCTTATATCCTGATACAAACTTTTATAAGCATTTTCAAATGTTAAGACTTGCTGCTTTATTGACATCTATGTGGTCATTTAAATGAATGGTGTAGGGGCATGCCTCATGGCCAATGAGTTATCAATTATAAATCTTTTGCCCCTTATTGATGTAGTTTTTTTTTTCTACAGTGAATTATTTTATATAAGAAAGCTATACATCCAGCATACAGAAGATTGGTGTCTCCACTCAGTTTGCCTTCAATAAGAAATTGGCCGAAATCTAAGGTGTTTGCCCAAACCAGTAAAGCTGGAAAGCCCCCTTGTAAACATAGAAGTATCACAGTGTTACTTAAAACATAATTAAGTAACAAATCTGTAAAGGATCCACTGAAGGAAAATGATCCTATTTATACTTTATAAACTTGCATAATGTCAAGCTTAATAAAACTTGTTTGAGGTAATGTTATGTGTAATGAAAAGGAAATTTAGACACACTAAAAAATAATGCAAAGACAAAAGTATTACCTGTTAACTGCTGAACTTGTGTAATAGAATTTTCCGTCTTTGAATTTTGAAAAGTAGTCAAAATTTCAGAGATTTCAATTCTAAAATACAAAAATTGAGCTATTAACAATATAGAGTGGTCAGCAGGATGGCCTTGCTCTATACTGGTGGCAAAGTCTAATCCCTATCTATTCCAACTGGCTAAGATTTAAAGTAAAAATTAGATTTTTCTTATGTTAGCCCTTAACTTGCTGGTGACTACAGAAGCTACCCATGGGACCAGTACTGACTATGGTCAGCCGCTCATGTCTGAACTGTTTGCTAGTCAGTCATTACATATTTTGAAATTGTACTTGAAAATGATACAATGGTTTTGTCCATATTGCAAGATGGGACAAGTCCATTTAGGATATGTGGAATGGTTAAAGGGTTTAGGATGAAAATAC